CCCCCCCCCCCCCCCCCCCCCCCCCCCCCAGGAGGGTTGGGAACTCCGACCTGGTAGCCCCAGCCCTGCCAGTGTAGTCCAAGTTTATTCTAATCTGAAAACCCACCCGAAGTGCTTGTTTAACATGCAGCTTCTCAGGTCCCTCCCCTGGAGACAGATAGGTTGGCCTGGAGGGGAGCCCGGGGATTTGCCCTTTAGCAAGAGTGCACATCAGGTGTGGGAAATACCGAGCGCTTTGAAGGAAGGACGGAGTGGGGCGCAGGTGGTTGAAGGGGGCAGGGGTGCAAGGAGGGCTTGGGAGCTGAGGATCGGAGATGCGAAGACAGGTGCTGTGTTTGTGGAGCAGAAAGGAGTCCTCGGTGGTGAGCCGTCTGGTGGGTGCGGCAGCCCGAGGTCTGCGAGGGAACCAGGTCTGAAGGGCCTTTGACGGCTGCTGAACGTGACTTGTTCAAGAGTTTGGGGCAGGGAGTGACAGCACAAGGTTCGTGTGTTTGGAGGCAGCTTCAGCTTCAGCTCGCGCTGTCTCACTCCCCTCGCAGGACTGCGAGCTGGCGAAGGAATGCGGACCCAGCCCAGGTCCTTTGTCTCCACCGCCACTTTATCACACCGCTGGACAACCAATGGGACGTGAATGAGCTTAGTGGTGGCTTCGTGTTCCGAGCGTCCTGTTCAAAAGGTCACAGCACTGGTCACTCTGGGCCTTCCAGTCATGACCTTACCACTGAGGCATATCCAGGGGCCGTCTAGACCAGGGCCCTCGTTTCATAACCCGACAGTCCACCTTGTGCCCTAGTGTGTGCCGCTAGGAACGGCAGAGCCAAGCGTAGACCCCGCCGACAGGAGGCTGGGGAGTCTCGCGTTTGGGGAACTTTCGTCGTGACCCCCATTCAGTGCACCGACCCTCAGAGGCTCTCGGTGATGAGAGGGGTGGACCAGATGTTCCCTTCACGTACATGCTGACTGCTCAGAGGAGGAAGAGGAAGTCCAGCAAGGTGACCGAAGGGGTGACATGAGCTGGATTTTGAACGATGGGGGCGGGTCAGTTTTCGTGACGCCAGGTCTGCTCGCTTGACGCCACGTTACTGGACCTGAGAGGCGGAAGACACGCACGGAGGCCACGGTGACGTTAAGTCCAGGTGATGACGATTAAGAGCTGCTGAATGCCAGTAGTGCAGTCTGGCTTCGGGTTGCCGGTGGGGGCTGGCAGGAGACGAGACCGGCCAGGTGGCAAGTGAAGGGTTAAAGTCACGCTAGAGGTTGGAGAGCCTTTCTGAGGGAGACTGGAAACTTGACGCAAGAGGGAAGCATCAGGCGTGCGGCCTGTGAAGACCGTGGTGGCGTCAACGTGGAAGGTGACCGACAGGGAGGCGTGAGGCTGAGCCGCCCGGGACATACTGCTCCTGCAGGCACGCACAAAATAAGGAATGGGAAAGGCGGGAGGAAGGGCCGACGGAGAGACCTGTGGGAAGCAGAATGGGCGGGTCCTCACGACAGGACGCGCGGTGGCGTGAGGGAGCAGAAACTGAGGGTGACTCACACCTTTGTGAGTTTGGGGTACCCGGTGGATGACGGAATCCTTTACTAAAACATAGGTGGCAGGACAAAGATCTGTTCAGAGGTCAGTTGTGGACCTAATGAGTTTGGAGAAGTAGCCGGTATCCGAGGGGCAGTGAGAATAAACTGCCGACACTTGAGTCTGGAGCTCGAGAGAAAGAGATCCAGGCCAAATTCTAGATTTATGAGCAGGGAGGTGGCATCACCCAAGAGAAGAGGTAGCAGGAGAGAGCAGGGCTGAGGACAGAGGCCCCAGAAAACAGACCCACAAGGACGAGTCTCGGGGTGAAGGCCAGCCTTCCTTCACGGCCTTGCTCCAGGCTCCCCGCACAAGGCAGGTCTGAAAGACTCCCCAGTCCCCACAGAAGGAATCTGCTCCCAAAGCTTTGCTTACAGAATTGCCCAGGGGTGGGCAGACTTTTTGGTAAAGGACCACATACTAAACATTTTAGGCTTTGCCGGTCCCTGTCACGACTACTTAACTCTGCCATGATGGGGAGAAAGCAGCCATAGACAATATGTAAAATTCCAAAAAATTCTCAAATGGGTGTGGCTGTGTTCCAACAAAACTCTACTTAGAGAAACAGAAGGGCTGGATTTGGCCCTGAGCCGTGGTTTGCTGATCCCTGGTCCAGCTCTTACACCATCATGTTAGTCACTTGCATGGAAGGTTGGTCTCTCCTCGTTTGTAAAGTCCTTTGGCAGAAAAAGCTAGATCCTGTCTTCTATTTCCGGGGATTTCTAGAGGCAAGTACGGTGCTCAGTACAGAGTAAGCATCTAAAAAGCATCTGCCTAGTAGTTGGGATGACCGTGTTAACACCGGATGGACCTTGATGTCACACATCATCCTGCTTTGTTCTTAGATTCAGTGACTTGCCTAAGGTTGTTTCCACACAGAACAGGGCCTAGTATCCAGCCAGTCCTGCTGATTGGAGGCATGTCTGTGATCTCTGCTTCCTAACAGCGTATTGATGGCTTGTGCCTTCGAGAATCACTCCATCAGTCTTTGTTGGAAAGCATTAAATGGCACATGTGAAATAATAATAGTGAAAACAATAACTGACATCTGTTGAACTCTCACTGAACGTCAGGCGCTAGGCTTGGTTCGTCCAGAAATTAGATTACAGAATCCTTCCAAAAGTCCAATGGGAGCAGCCACTGGTATGATCTTTAACAGAGGAGGAAGTGGATACCCCAGCATGTAGTTGCGATGTAAACCCCCTTGGTGTGGTTCTGGATTCCATTTTCTTAGCCACTCGTTACTTGTCCAGCCCACTTCCTGAGATGATCACAGAAGTCAAATGAAGTAACGTATGTGGAACGCTTTTGAAATGGACAGGGTTCTGCAGATTTAAGGTGAGATTGCAGGATACTTGCGTTGATGAAAAAGTAGCCTGGCTCTTTTTATCACCAGCAGGAGGATGATTATGGAGAAGGAGAAGACGATGCGGAGGTCCAGCAAGAATGCCTACATAAATTTTCTACCCGGGATTATATAATGGAGCCCTCCATCTTTAACACTCTGAAGAGGTGTGTGAGAAAGGTCGTGTGTGTGGGGAGGAAGCTGGGGAACTTAGAGACAGTGTGTAATGGACCCAGAGGGTGATCTGCAAAAGCCAGAATAATGTGATTTGGGAATGGAAAGCTTCTAGACCCCACCCCACCCCACCCCCGCTTTAAAAATCTTAATATCCTGACTATCTTGTCATTGATCCCCATGCCCGCCTACATTCCTATGAGTGTCCTAGCTTTTTTCGTTACCTTTTCTAGGTATTTTCAGGCAGGTGGGTCTCCGGAGAATGTTATCCAGCTACTGTCTGAGAACTACACTGCCGTGGCCCAGACCGTCAACCTGCTGGCTGAGTGGCTCATTCAGACAGGTGCTTTGTGGGTGGCCCCGTCCTGCCTGGTCACCGCCCCCCCACCTTTTTTTAATAGACCTTTGGATCATTATAATGCTGATAAACCAGAAAGGCCTTGTTTGTTTTCCTGGTTTTTAAGACTTCTGTAAGTGGGAACTGAACTTCTTACCCATGTTCATCTGCTTGATTCCTATCTTTGATTCACTAATTTGAGGTTTACGGGTAGCCTGCAAATGGGATTCTCATGGAGCTGTTTTCCCTACCATGTTGTAGAATTATGGGGTCAGACTGTATACCCTCACTGCGTCATTTCTAAGAGGTCTGTTATAGCAAGCGGTGGATGATGGATAATTTAGGCCTGGGTATGATTGTGGCTTTTAGCTAATCTGATCAGGGTAGAGCCTCACTGTAAGGCCACTGAGCTGGGTGCAGATGACGTCATGGAGTAGGTGCTGCTGGAAGGCAGTGGGTTCCCTGCTGCCCCAGCTCCTGAACACGGTGCACCTCTCATGGCTGGCATCTGCTCTCTTTCCACCCTGTCGGGTATGTCTTTCTGTCCTCCTGCCTGTCTGTTTTGGCAGTTTCTCCTTGTCTTTACCGAGGCGTCCAAGATGCTGCTGTACTTTCCATGAAGGCAGACGGCCTTCTGTGTTCTGCCTTGGGCTCCTTTTTTGGGTCTTACCGTTGACCAAGGTTAATAAATCTGAATTTTTATGAGAGGTCCCGAATTCCAAGTGGTCAGAAGCAATTCTGTGATCTTTGGTTCACATACAGACTTTTGACCTGTCTATTTTTTCCAAAGTAGTATAACAAATTGAGAGATGGCCATTTTCCATCTGGCTGTTTTCATTTTCTTTCAGGTGTTGAACCAGTGCAAGTTCAGGAAACTGTGGAAAATCACTTGAAGAGTTTATTGATCAAACATTTTGACCCCCGCAAAGCAGATTCTATTTTTACCGAAGAAGGAGAGGTGAGGAGTCTGTCTTCTTTTTCTAATGCCAGTTCCTAGGATCTTTTGCTCATTCCACGTGTACAGTGGAACGTGGCGTATTAGGTAAGTAATGCAAAAAGTTGGGTCCTAAAATCAAGGTGTGAGACAGAAATTGTGTAGAGTCAGAGTTGCCCTCAAAATGCTCTCTGCAGGGTAGTGAGCTCTTGCACACTGAGAGGCACACGGGTGGTGAACTAGAGAGGAGGACTGGCAGACTCACACCTCCCACTTCTGTCGCCTCTCGAGCACCGGTCCTGGGAGTGGTGTGGGGTACTCGTCCGGGTCCCCCAGGAAGCAGACGCCAGGACGGGATTCTGTGTGCAGGAGATACGAACAACACGCCTGTGAGAGAAGATGGGCGGGGGCTGGGGAGCCACGATGCAGGTCTGGGCTCAGAAGGCAGAAGGGAGGAAGGAAGGTTGGGGGTGAAGAGCCTTAGGCGACTGGGCAGTTTTCAGAAAGTTCCAGCAGTGTCAGTGGGTATCTTCAGGCCACAGTCCCCTGTCACTGGAGCCCCGTGTCTCCTGGGAACCAGCCTGCCGGGAGCCCTGCCGTACTCGATTGGTGGCTGGGAGTATCCTGCGGGCAGCTGGCCTTGGCACAGGTGGGAGGTGGACTCAGAGGGTCTGTCAGTCACACAGTAGGGGAGCTGAGAGACATGTGTTCGCGGCCACCACACATGGCGATGGCCAAAACCTCTGCCCTATCAAACGGCCTTTTCGTCTTGCCAAGGGCAAGATGTGGCATATGTGTTACTTGTGCCTACGCTGCGGCCACACTACGTGTACTTCCCTAGACTCGAGTGGCTCCAAGAAGCGCCTTTCAGTGACTCTGGTGTGCGGTTGAGTCTCCAGAAGCCGTGAGTGGGCTTTCAGGGCTCCAGCGCTGCCGCTCAGCTGGCCCTGTGGCATCGCCAGCTCTGGTCTGCTTCCTGTGCCGGGACCACAGGGCTGGAGCTCGACGCTCACGGGGGCTCTTCCAACTGGAATGTCCAGTGGTTGTTTATACGATACCGTCTTCACTAAAGCTCAAGCGAGGCCTTTTATCTCGCCGTCCATTTGTTTGTTGGCAGACCCCAGCTTGGCTTGAACAAATGATTGCACATACCACGTGGAGAGATCTTTTTTACAAACTGGCTGAAGCCCATCCAGACTGCTTGATGCTGAACTTCACTGTTAAGGTAGGCAGGGGACTAGTGTCACAGAAAAGGCGAAGGCATTTATGAGTGAGAGTTATGTTAGTTGGGAAGTGGTCTGTTTCTTTTGAAAGGTCATATTTGCTTTTTGGTAAAGGTCTCCCTCACTTCGCCTCTGTAAATCTGAACAGTGAGAAAGAAAAGCATAGAATATGTATGTGTGTTTTTGGATCAACGTGGACTGTGTTTTAGGATTTGGCAGGAACGTATTTTTAGAGTCCATCGTGTGCTGAGAGGACCCTTTAAGAAGGCCTGGTTTGGGGCGCTTGGCTGGCTTAGTCGGAGCATGTGACTCTTGATCTCGGGGTCGTGAGTTCGAGCCCTACGTTGGACACAGAAATTAGTTTAAAAAAAAAAAAAGAAGGCCTCGTTCGTCCACTTCATGCTACACACGAAGAGACCGAGATGGGATGGTTAGCCGGGGCCACAAGCCTAGTCAGTGGTGAGGCGGGGATCAGAATAAGCGTTTGAGGCCTGAGACCGGTGTTTGCTTGTCCCACCTTCCCACGACACTGATGACAAGCCAACTTTCTGTGAAACGTGTGGTCACTACCTGTTGACACTGTGGCCTCTCGTTTTTGTATGGTAGCTGATTTCTGACGCAGGGTACCAAGGGGAGATAACGAGCGTGTCCACAGCCTGCCAGCAGCTGGAAGTGTTCTCTAGAGTGCTCCGTACCTCTCTAGCTACAATTTTGGACGGAGGAGAGGAAAACCTTGAAAAAAACCTCCCTGAGTTTGCCGTAAGTTCTTTGTGTGTCTCAGAAGGTGGCCGTGCATCGGGGTCATGCGTTTTCAAACGTGAACTGCTTCTTCCCTGGAGAGAATGTCCAGATCAGAAGGCCAGTTCCAGCATAATAACTTGCATGCAGAGTGGTTGGGAGTTTGGCTCTTTTGTCAACATCTGTCACTGCCGCAGTTATGGAACCCCAAACTCTCTCCCCCTGCAACGTTCCAGAAGATGGTGTGTCATGGGGAGCACACGTACCTGTTTGCCCAGGCCATGATGTCCGTGCTGGCCCAGGAAGAGCAAGGAGGCTCCGCCGTGCGCAGGATCGCACAGGAGGTGCAGCGCTTCGCCCAGGAGAAGTGAGAGACAGTGTTTGTGCTCGTCCTGGTCCTGACTAGGTGCTCCCCGCAAAGTTCCCCCTTCACCCTGTGTCCACTGGCAGAGACTCTAGGCCCTCCTCTTGACAGACAGATTGACTCCCTTCTGTCTAGTAGAGCTAGAAAGGTCAGGGTAGTTTTAGATACACGGAGAGAGCTTGCTTTCTGAAGTTTGGCTTTGATGAGTATTTTATAAGGTACTTGATTATTGTGCAGTTCACTGGATCTGTGAACCTGTGTTTTCATATATTAGGATTCATCAATAGCAAATGATAGCGGTCCTGAAATAGGTGTTCAGTAGTTTAATTGTTCTGTTGCGGTCCATATCTTACGGAATAAAATTAGCCCTTGCTGGCTTTATTCTCTCCTAACGGAGTCTTAATAAGACATGAAAAGTGAGTGGCTCCTCTTGGAAAGTCTGCAAGCTGTATCCAACCCTTCTTTCCCAGTTAGCTCTAAATGCTGTTTTTGTGGGTCAGTCAAGATACCAGTGAATGACAGACATATGAAAAAAAAGGGACCCAAACAATTCCAAGAATGAGGTGTGGAAAAAAAGGAAGGAAAGAGGCAGAGAAGGAAGGAGACGGCAGGGAGCCACCTTCCTAACAGTGGGATCTGTGCTTTCCCTCACCCAGAGGTCATGATGCCAGTCAGATCACACTTGCGCTGGGCACAGCTGCCTCCTACCCCAGGGCTTGTCAGGCTCTTGGGGCCATGTTGTCCAAAGGAGCCCTGAATCCGGCCGACATCACAGTCCTCTTCAAGATGTTCACAAGCATGGACCCGCCTCCTGTTGAACTTGTAAGTTGCTTTCATTTTAATAATAAGGTGGGACCCCCTCCATGCCGATTAGAAGGGTTATTTTGGAAAACCTGTGTTTCTCCTAAGTCCCTGAATACAAATTCGTTTCTGTCCTTTTCCTCATCCTCCCCCGTCACGTCCTCGGCGTGCCCTCACTCCTGCCGTAAGCGCATATGGACTGACCTGACGTCTCCTCCGCGCGTTCCTTTTCATCGAGCCGTGTGTGTCTCCTCAGATCCGGGTGCCGGCCTTCCTGGACCTGTTCATGCAGTCGCTCTTTAAACCAGGGGCCCGGATCAACCAGGACCACAAGCACAAGTACATCCACATCTTGGCGTATGCTGCCAGCGTGGTTGAGACCTGGAAAAAGGTACCATCAGTTCTGAGGATCGATGCACTTTTAGGGGGACAAGTAACCTCCTCTCTTTGGTATTATTTGGGAATTTGGGCTGTGTAAGAAGTCATGATCCCAACTAGTGTCAGAAACCTGTTTGTAGTGTTCGTGCATGAAATAGTCAAAGTGCTGAATGTCTCAAGAGAACGTGCATAGCATCTGTTGATACTTTTCACACTGGAATTTGAAGTGCGACTACAGAAATAAGCAGGTCCCTCTCTGCCACAGGCCCAGCCTCACTGGCTTGTTCCTGCACCCTGGGCGACTCTGACGGGTGGCAGCCGAATGGACTCGACTCCAGGGACAGGGAAGGGGGTTTGCAGAGAGGGGTAGCCTGTAGCAGATGACCCCAACTGCAAGGCCACCGGGACTCACTAACTCTGTGTGTGTGTGTGTGTGTGTGTGTGTGTTCAGAACAAGCGCGTGGGCATCAACAAAGATGAGCTGAAGTCAACGTCAAAAGCCGTGGAGACTGTTCACAACTTGTGCTGTAATGAAAACAAAGGGGCCTCCGAGCTAGTGGCCGAGCTCAGTACACTTTATCAGTGCATTAGGTGAGCAAATTAAACTTTAGTTCTGAACTTGATCCTTCTGGAGGAAGTTGGTTGAATTTTCATTTTATTAAAAGCTTATGTATTTAACAAAAGCTTCAGAGACACTTACTGATTTCAGTTTTTTTGTAAAATGTATATAGAGGACTTTAAATTGTTTCAGCAGCACGAGTACTTCTCAGGTGCTTATCTGCCAGAAGTCTGTTCATGAATTAGCCTAAGGAAACGGAAGACCAACCAGAATTACAAAAGCTGCTTTGAAGGGAAGGGTCTATTTACCGTAAAAATCAGGCCAACGAAGTGTTGCTTGTGTAGAAGTGACGTGATCACAGCAAGGATACAGACGCCTGCGTTGATCAGACAGGCTTACAGATAGGGTGGTCCTCTTAGGTGTTTGAGGCTTTCCCCTGGTAGTCTCTACTAGGGACAGAGAGAGGGTTTGCCAAATAAAACTTCAGCCCAGTCCAGGCTCCCTGAGAGTTCTGCCTTAACGATCTTCTTTTAAACCAATAGTGGTTGAAAATAAGCCAGTAACTGAGTTTGGGTCCCTGTAGCACACGTTGAGAGGATCCTGGCCTCCTGAGACCGTCTCTCTGACCAGCATCTCCTTGGCAGAGCAGAGGGAGAGCCACTTGCTGGGATAGATGGGGTGGTGGCGTTTCTTTTTTTAACTTCATTTAAAGGAAGCATTGTGCCCCATTTTCCCATAGGTTCCCAGTGGTGGCCATGGGTGTGCTCAAGTGGGTGGACTGGACTGTGTCAGAGCCGAGATACTTCCAGCTACAGACCGACCACACCCCAGTACACCTGGCCTTGCTGGACGAGGTACGGGGGCTGCGGGGCCTTGGGCGGCACTCCGTGTCCGTGCCTTATCCTGCTCGTGCCTGTCCTGCCAGTACATCTGTCACTGAATCCACAGGCTACTCGGTACAGAGCTAGTGACTTTTTATCCTCAGGGAGGATTTTCCTTTTAAGGAACTGGTTTTGGGGTGCCCAGATGGCTCAGTCTGTTAAGCGTCTGACTCTTGATTTTGGCTCAGGTCGTGATCTCACCATTCATGAGATTGAGCCCCCTACCAGGCTCTCTCCACTGACAGCATGCAGCCCGCTTGGGATTTTCTCTCTCCCTCTCTGCTCCTCCCCCTGCCCCCAGA